CTTCTTGTATTTCCTTACCTTTACTTTGTCTTTCTATTTAATAAACACCTTGTAATTTTCTGTTATTGTTATGAACATGATGATTTTAAGTTTTTGAAGTTTGATTGGTTTCCAAGTTTCAATTTTAGTTATTGTTTTTATTCATTATGCTTATCAGTTGATACGCTTGTTTGAATGTTTGATCACCACTTAAACTTGTATGTTTGCTATCTTGTATGTTTGCTATCTTGGATGGAATAAGAGTAGACACCATATGCCTTAATCCAAATTGAACTTTGAATATGAAGAGTATGTATGGACATTCAACAACAAGGATTAGATACATGCTTGGTTGTTTAAAACGTTCTCCTATTCTTAATGGATTTCTAATGCTTAATTTAGGTTCGACAAAAAGAATCTAATTAGGGAATTAGGAATGCAAGGTTTAGACCAGACACTATGGCTAAATTATATATTAGAAAGAATCAATTTTTTTACTTGAATTGAACTTGTTAACTTGATTGCTTGAGACTTAGAATTGGATTGCTCCCTAGTGTACTCTTCGCAATCATCTTTAAACTATGTTTCCATTTCGGTTTTGTGCAGGGAATCGAATTGAATCAATCTATCATCAATCATCGTGGGATCGACCTTACACTCACATATGCTATAATACCCAATGGCTCGTGCACTTGCGAGTATCACAAGTTGATAATGCAGCTAAAACGATTTTGATGCAGCTAAATCGACAAAACAATAGCAAGTGATGTGATAGGCCCCAAACATAAAAGCTCTTGTGTCATCTCTTAGGACCCACCCCCACCCCCCACTGTAGATTGCTTACTAATAGTCCCATCAAAATTAATCTTAATCGCACCTAGAGGAGGCAAATGCTACCTGGCATCATGAAATTCATGTAAAATGCGCATGGTATTGGAGATTACCTCCTCAGGATTCCGATGTGAATCATTCCATAGCCTAGCATTTCTTTCCTTCCAAATACCCCAGAGGAGCATCAGAGTTTGCTAGATACATAAAGCTGACAACTCAGTAAAAATAAAAAATAACCAATGTTTCAGACTCATAGAGGTAGAGTCTCTAAAAGTAGAACCCACCGGGTGGGTAGACCAAATCCTTGCTGCAAAAGGACATAATAAGAAATTGCAGGAGAGAGACTCATCTGGATGATTGTAGAAAAAGCACCTAATGACATCACGCGACATCCCTTTCTGGGACGATTTTTCTCTGGTAGGCAAGATGTCAATGAAAGTCCGCCAACCAAACAATTGCACTCTAGGCTTAACATGAATATTCCAGAGCTTCTTTCATACTGTAGAGGGAAACCCATTGAAGCTCTCACTACCAGACGTCCCCAAACCATTATAATCCAACAAGAGTTGACTGATCTCCTCATAGGCACTGCTAAGACAGGATAAATCAATCTTCTCGAAGTGCCAAATTAATCTATTAGTGGGCCTACTATGACTCAAAGGAATCCTGCGAATACAATTGGCTTTCTCAACAGAGAACCAGCTAGTAAGGATGCTTTCACGCCATTGAATCGTCACAGGATCAATCAGATCCCCAACAGTAGACTCCTTATAACCATGCATAGGCTTAGAAAGAATTTGGAACTTGTTTAGATTCGGAATGCAGTTATCCCCCCAAATTTTCACAAAAAGGTCATTGCCAATTTGCCAGTAAGAGCGAAGCTCCAACACTACTCTAGCATCACATAAGCTTCTCCAAACAAAAGTGGGGGCAGAGCCTTTCAGGGCCTCCAGAATGGAGCATTTCTTGAAACATCTAGCCTTGAAAACTTGATACATTTAAGAGTTAGGATTAGAATGTTATCTCCAAAATTGCTTGGCCAATAAGGCCAAGTTAAATGCATATAGGTGTTTGAAGCCTAAACCACCTTCATTTTTAGGCTTACACAAATGGTTCTAGCTCCTCCAATGGATCCCCATTTGGTCCCCTTGTTCCCCCAACCAATATTAGGCCATAACTTGTTGAATTTCATCACATAACTCCTTAGGCAGTAAAAAGAAACTCATTAAGTAAATAAGGACAGCCTGAGCCCCAACCTTCAGAAGCACCTCTTTTCCAGCAAAACTTATCATCTTCTCTTTCCATCCCTAAAACTTCCCCCAAATCCTCTCCTTGATTGGGTTAAAACATACTGTTTTGGATCTTCCCATAAAGGTGGGCAAACCCAAGTACTTATCGTGCTTTTCCACCCACTGCACTTTGAGAATACCCATGAGGAGGTGCTGCTCCTTAATCCTCACGTTCATGCTAAAAGATACACAACTCTTTTCCAGGTTGATCCTTTGGCATGAGGCAGTTTCATATTTGTTAAAGATATCACGAAGGGATTGACACTCTATATAGGAAGTCGTCATGAAGTGACAACTTTAAAGTAAATGGCTAACCGAGGGTGTGCCCCTACATATGGAAACTCTGTGGATAAGACCATGGTTCTCCGCTTGTGTAATCAAGCCATATAAAATTTTAGCACATAATAAGAAAAGGTAAGAGGATAAATGAGGAAGAACATACCTGATGGGTGCACCATTAACCAAAAAAGAATAAGAGACAGAAGAGACACACATCATTATTAACTGCACGCACTTATCTTCAAAGTCCATGGCATCCATGACATTCTTAACAAAACTCCATTCCACCTGATCGTACACTTTGCTCATGTGTAGTTTGAGGGTCATAACACCCTTTCCCCCTTTTATTTTCCTATGCATAAAGTGCATGATTTCGAAGGCTAGAATAGAATTATCATAAATCGATCTCCTAGGAACAAAAGCACTTTGGGATGGACTAATAATATCCCTTAATATTATCTTCAGTCTGTTTTCCAAAACTTTGGCCCCAATCTTGTTGATGATGTTACACAAACTTATAGGTCTAAGTTGAGTCATAAGTTTAGGAGCCTTGGCTTTCGGAATGAGGGCCACATAAGTGAAGTTTAACTTCTTGCATAAAGTACCAGAGTGCGAGAAGTCCAAGACAGCCGCCACCACGTCCTCCCCCACCACATCCCAATATTTCTTAAAGAAAAAAGAGGACATGCCATTTGGGCTAGGGGCTTGTGAAGGGTACATTTGAAACAGAGCAAACTTAACTTCTTCAGCCGAGAACTTGAAAAGAAGGGACTGGTTCATCTCAGTGGTTACTCTACCATGCACCGAATCCAATATGTCCTCATGGAACGAAATAGATTTTGGAAATAATTAACCACGGTCTTATCAATACCATCATCAGTTGACTCCAAGTACCATTTCCTTCAAACAACCCCGCAATCCTATTTTTTTTCTTCTATAATTATTGGCCTGATTATGAAATACATTTAAGTTTTGATCACCTGACTTCAACCAAATTGCTCTTGACCTCTGACGCCACACAATTTCACCTTTAGCCATCAAGGAATCTAGAAGGGCCGTCAAGTGCCTATGCGAGTCAACCACAAGTTAGGAGCGTGGAGCATTTAAGAGCTCACCAAGGTTTTTCCTGGCCTCAGTAATATCACGAGAGAGGGAGCCAAAAGTTTGGCGACTCCACTGCAAGAGCTTAAGCCGAGTGCCTTCGTATTTTATTGCAGACCTGAATTGAGGCCACACTGGAGCTAACATCATTCCAACGCTCACGGATAACACCTCGACATTCCTCATGCCCAGCCCAGAGCTCCTCAAAGACGAATCTACGGTTCTTCCTCTTGTGGTTTGTCATGCCACAAAAAATGGACAAACGAATGGGAATGTGGTCAGATTTAGAGGGGTTAAGGTTAACCACTCTAGAGCCATGGAAACACTCCCACCACTCATTAGTAGCTAGCACACAGTCAAGACGAATGGGAATCTCAGCTGGCCAAGTACGCCAACAAGTAAATTTAGGACTTGAAAAGCCCAAGTCTTTAAGGCCACACACATCCACAGCATGACGAAAACCCATCATCTGTCTCTTCACACCCCTGGGATTGCCCCCCACTTTCTCGTGCCCCCAAATGATCTCATTAAAATCCCAAAGGCATACCCACATGAGTGAATTACCTTGCCCAAACTTTTCAAGAAAATCCCAAGATTTATATCGATCAGAGGTTACTGGCCAACCATAAAAGCCAGTCAATCTCCACTTTCCCATTAAACCCAGGATCTCCGCATCAACATTAAAATGATTACGACTAAAAGAGCGAGCATGAATTGTAACTTCCTCCATCCACAACAGACAAAGGCCACTAGAAGCACCCATACTATCAACAACAATACATTGCCAAAAACCCAATTTACGACGAATATCTTCCGTGGAAGTCAAGGAGCCGTGTGTTTCACTTAGAAACACAATTTTAGGATCTTCAATACGCATTAAGGATCTTAGTGCATATATTGTCCAAGGGCCCAAGCCCTTGACAGTTCCACCTTAACAAATTCATGGTATTTAGAGGGGTTGGGACTTGTGAACCTCCGTTGTTCCCTACTTTAACAAAGACGAAGAAAGGGATGAGCTGCAATGTCATTTAGCAGATGGCAAAGCGGCCACATCATGAATACCAAAATAACACGTTTTCCAAATTTGTTGAAATTTCCATGCAAATCACGTAGTTTGCTATGCCTCATGTTCCAATTTGGGCTTTTCCCCTTCAAGTCGCTCATGCGCATAGAGTTGTGTTCAATAATGTGGCTTAATCCGAAAGGTTTAGATCGGTCAACACCTATCAGCTTGCAAGTCACCGCGCAGTAGGACTTGACAATTCATGTTGGAGGATAAATTGATTGCCTCGTTGGGAACTGTTGGTGGGAGAGCAAGGTTACTTTCAGTACGCTCAACTAGCACAGAGAATGTGTCTGTTATAGGGTCTGCACGCTGCACATGGTTCACATCATCATGGGCAATATTTAAATTTGGGACAACAGTAGAGGAGCAGGAACCTTGGTTTCCTCCAAAAATATATTCGGTGGGATTGGGACAGTCCCTCATTGGTACCGAAAGCGTCCGAGTGGACCCATACCTCAAAAGCAAGTTGTCGATATCAGCGTCGTTTCCATCTTGGTCGTCCATCGCCATATCCATTTCCGGTGGAGCATGGACCAACCGTTGCTTGAGGGAAGTTCGAAACGCCAATCGGGGGGCCTTCTATAATCGGCACTAAAGACATCAAGTTGAAACCACTTTCCGTATGGTTTCACTAAATCATCGGTCCCTGGACTTGGTCCATCATGACATGACAACTCAGTATGGCTAATAACTCCACACCGATAACAAGTAATAGGAAGTTTTTCATGCCAAATTGCAACCTCCAACAGAATGCCATCTAAATGCAAAGATATGCGACTCTGGAGGGGTTTGGTGATATCCACCACTGCTTGAATCCTAAGAAAATTTCCAAAGCATTCACTTTTTTTACTCTGATCCATGACAACATAGCCTCCAAGCTCTCGTCCAATGATAGGTGAGGAATGACTAGTGATATAAGCTAATGGAAGCCCCTTAACCTGAATCCAGAATTCCTGAATGGATATTGGAATCAAGGATGGGTTAGTAATGAGAGGGTTTGCCTTTGTCAGAGCTAACAGGTAACCATTGAAGAGCCAGGGTCCTCCTTGCAAAATCATAGCCCTCGCCCTGCATATGTTGAAGGCAAATAAGAACCAATCACAATTGAGCTCTACTATCGTAGTATGAGCCTTAGGCTTTCGTAGATTGAACAGTGTGTTTTAACGCTTCCTTATTGAAATATCTATCATTAAGAAGCTTGCCCACAAGAATGAACTTTGATGACTTTATCTCTTGATTAAAGCTAGAATCCAAAATGACCTCTCGTTGCTCAACCCCCGTGAGCACGAAACGGGAAAAGAACTGTGATACAATATCCTCCATAATAAAAAAGGTAGAGATTAAGAGCTTCCACCCCCACTGCAATAACAGCAACAATGTCGTACACCCTTTCCCCACTTTAGGCCAGTGCATAAATGCCGGCTAAAGCCCTATAATCACACCCACCCACTTGCTTACCCACTCTCCTAAGAGCATTGCCACCAGAGGGCCCAAGGGGGTGGTTGGGGGGGGCAAACCCAAAAACATGTTTCCAACAACAATAATCTGCCAGGGCAAACAGTGGAGCCCACGAACCTGGGCAAGCCCGAGGGGAAGGCTGGCCCGAGCTCCAGCCCGCGGGCTGAGCTGACGTCAGCGTAGCTGTTTAAATTTTTTTAACGCTGGCGCGTGCAATACACGCGCCCGGGTTTAAAAAAAATTGACGCGCGCCGCATGCTGGGCCATCCGATCTGCTTTTTAAACTTATCCAACGGCAGCCATTTTTTCGCGAATAAAAAAATCAAAAAAGTAACCCCCAACGGCTCTATGCCACATGGAAGCTCTTGGGCTCTCCGATTAGTTATTTCCAGCAATCCAATGGCAGACAATTTTTTGGCAAAAAAAAAATAGAAAAAAAATCGGAAAAAATTTAAAAAAATATGAAAAAAATACTGAATTTTTTTTCTATAAATACCAACCAATACTCTTCACTTTTAACACCAACTCTTCATACATTTTCTTCTCATTCTACTATTTTTCACTTTGTAGTCAAATTTTTTTCACTTTCAAGTTGTTTTTTTCTCT